AGAGATCAATTTGGGGAAAATCAAAACGAGCATATGTTTCTATAATTATTTCACTGAAACTCTTGACAAAAATCACCAAAGTTACCTCCATTTTGCTAAGCCTATAGGAATTTTAACTGCAATTGCAGTACAATCACTCCTTCTTAAATGAAGCACTTTTTTGACTTGGCTTCCAGAACTCTACATACCAGGGTTCAACAAACTTTTTCTGTAAGGGAGCCAGATAGCAATTTTAGGTTTTGTGGGTTAATTAATTATGCTGTTGTACCGTGAAAGCAGTCACAGACAATAATGAATTAAGTGTGATAGTGTTCCGATAAAAATTTATTTACAGAAAAAGGCAATAGATCAGATTTGACCCCTGTGGCCACAGTTTGCCAATGTTTGCTCTACAATCTCCTTATTTTCATCCTACTACCTGGAAACTTCTGTCTCTTGTTCTTGTTGTTCCTCAACTCCTTAATCGCTTAACACTGGCATGTCCCCAAGGACTCAATCATTTTTCTTCTTCATATATAACCAGTTTCTTGCTGATTTCATCCAATATCATGACTTCATGTGTTTTATGTATATTATTTTTTTAAAGAAACAGAGAGGACCCAAATAAAATCCGAAACAAACGTGGTGAAGTAACAACTGACACCATAGAAACACAAAGGATTGTAAGAAAATACTATCAACAACTATATGCCAATAAGCTGGACAACCTGGATGAAATGGACAAATTCCTAGAAAAATACAACCTTCCAAAGCTGAGTCGGGAAGAATCAGAGAACCTGAATGGGCCAATAATCACTGATGACATTGAAGCAATAATAGAAAAGTTCCCAGTGGACAAGAGCCCTGTCCCGGACAGCTTCGCAGGAGAGTTTTACCAAGCATTCAAAGAACTAGCACCCATTTTTGATAAAAATTCTCAGCAAAGTGGGAATAGAGGGATTATACCATAACATAATAAACACCATATATGACAAACTTATAGCCAACATCATGCTCAATGAGCAAAAACTAAAACCAATTCCCCTAAGAACAGGAACAAGACAGGGGTGTCTGCTTTCACCATTTACCACTCTTATTCAACATAGTGCTGGAAGTCCTAGCCACAGTGCTCAGACAAGAAAACATAAAAAGCATCCAAACTGGAAAGGAGGAAGTAGAGCTGTCATTATTCACAGATGACATGATATTGTACATAGAAAACCCTAAAGACTCCACCAAAAAACCACTAGATTTAATAAATGAATTTGGCAATGCAGAAGGACACAAAATTAACACCCAGAAATAGATGGCATTTTTGAGAATTTTAACTGGTATCTGGACTTTCACCCTTGCCCCCATAGTCTATTCTCAGCACAAGGGCCAGAGTGGTCTCTTTCAAAACTTGAAATCAGATCATATTGCTCCTCTTCTCCAAACCATCTAATGGCTCTGCGTTTCATTAAGAGTAAAAACCACAGTCCTTGTAATAGCCTACATAACTGGCACCCACTCTCCACTTCCTTCTACCACATATTTCTATGACTTCATCTCCTACTATATTCTCCCCCTAAATCACTTTGCTCCTGTCACTGGCTGTCTTCAAACATAGCAGACATGAACGTGTCTCAGGACACTGCACTATAATTTGCTCTATTTCAAAATCTCTTCCCTTAGATATTTGCATGGCTGGATCCCTCACATAGTCTTTGCTCAACGGTCACTTTCTTAATGCGATCTTCCCTGATCACAGTATTTAAAACTGCAACACTGTTCATCCTACCTTCCTTATCTCCTTTTCCTGCCTTATCTTTCTCCGTATTACTTATCACCTTCTAATTTACTTTTTAATTATGTTTATTATTTGTCTCTCACTTCTAGGAAGTAGGTACCCCCAGGGCAGTGAATTAGTGAGAGTCCCAACAAGAAATACATGATACACTTAAAGTATGGTAGTTTGAGAAAGATGTATTTATAAAGAGACTATTTAGCCCTAGCTGTTTTGCTCAGTGGTTAGAGCATCGGCCCACAGACTAAAGGGTCCCGGGTTTGATACCTCAGTTGCAGGCTCCATCCCCGGCCCCAGTGGGGCCTTGAGTGGGAGGCAACCAACTGATGTGTCTCTCTGACATTGATGTTTCTCTCACCCTCTCTTCCTTCCACTCTCTCTGAAAAGCAATGGAAAAAATTCACCCATCCTTGGGTGAGAATATTTTTTCCATTGATTTTCAGAGAGAGTAGAAGTGAGAGAGACAGAGGGGGAGAGGGAGAGAGAAACATCAATGTGAGAGAGGCACATTGATTGGTTGCCTCCCCTACGTGCCCTGACCAGGGAGGGGGCTCCAGCCTGCAACTCGAGGTATGAGCCCTTGGCTGGAATTGAACCCAGGACCCTTCAATCCTCAGGCTGACACTCTAACCCCTAAGCAAAAAAGGTTAGGGCTGGGATTAAATCTTGATTGGGGTCTATACAAGAGAGAATGGGGAAAGAAGTGGAGGCCTCCTAGAACAAAAAAGAGCAGATAAATGGTGCTGAAGACTGAGGGCAGGAGGGGTTTCAAGAAAGTTGTTTTTTTAAAATGGAAAATATTTCAGAATGTTGAATGCTGTTGACAACAATCTAAACAATCTAGTAGAGAGAGGGGAAAAATATTTGGCAGAGAAGAGGAATATTATAGGAACAAAGTCCTTGAGGGTTAGATTAATCCCAACATACAGTTGACCCCTGAATGCAGGGGTAAGGGATGCCAAACCCCTGTGCATCAGTCAAAAATACATGTATAATATCTGACTCCTCTAACACTTAAGTTGTCCCTTGGTATATGCAGGGGATTGGTTCTAGGAATTCCCCCAAACAGTACCAAAATCCAAGAACGCTTTAGTTCCCTATATAAAATGGTATAGATCAATGCATACAGTCAGCCCTCCGTATCCACAAATTCCTGACTATGAATCAAAAATTCTACAAGTATTTACTGAAAAAAGAATCATGTATAAGCGGAACTGTGCAGTTCACACCTGTGCTGTTCAAGGGTCAACTATATAGTGACATGGGATATGATCAAAATTGCTTTATATGTAATCAGGAAAAGAATGGGCTATTGGATAAATGATGCTGAAGCCACTTGCTTTGACATAAAAAAATGATGGAGCCTGGCCGGGTGTGGCTCAGCGGTTGATAGTCGACCTAGGATCCAGGAGATCAGGGTTCGATTCCTGGTCAGGGCACATGCTGAAGCTGCTGGCTCGATCTCCAGTCCGGGGCATGCAGGAGGCAGGCGATCAATGACTCTCTCATCATTGATATTTCTATCTCTCTCTCTCTCCCTCTCCTTTCCTTTCTCTGAAATCAATAAAGATACATTTAAAAAAAAAAAAAGACTTAAAAAAAATAAAATAAAAAAATAAAAATAAAAAAACTGATGGAGATTCCTCCCTCATATCATAAACAAAAATAAATTCTAGATGGTGTAAAGGCTGGACGATAAAGCGCAAAGCTTCAACATTCGGAGGAAAACGTCTTAGAATATCTTTATGACTTTGGAGTAGAAAAGAATTTTTAAAAAAATCTTTAAAAAAATATATATATATCCTTATTGATTTCAGAGAGAGAAAGGGAGAGGGAGAGAGAGAGATAGAAACATCAATGACGAGAGTCATTGATTGGCTGCCTCCTACATGCCTCTGACTGGGGATAGAGATGGCAACCCANTAGAAACATCAATGACGAGAGTCATTGATTGGCTGCCTCCTACACGCCTCTGACTGGGGATAGAGACGGCAACCCGNGCCTCTGACTGGGGATAGAGATGGCAACCCGGGCATGTGCCCTCACCAGGAATTGAACCGAGATCTCCTGGATCCTAGGTCGATGCTCAACTACTGAGCCATGCCTGGCCGGGTGAAAAGAATTTCTTAAAAAGATACAAAAGCAAAATTAATAAAGAAAAAGATTTTTTTAAATGGATACACTAAAATAAATTCCCATACTACAGGTTTATCATAAATAAAGTTAAAAGACGAGTCACATATTGGAAGAAGACATTTGCATCACAGATAACCAATACAGGATTAGTATCCAGAATACATATATATTTAATTTTTATGTAGGTATAATTTCCATATACATAATAAGAAATATACATGGGAGGTGAAAAGTTATGTAGCAATCTTTTGACATGTATAATCCGTTTCACAGACTACTAACTAAATCTGGTTTAGTAATAAGTGTGGCACATCTAAATAATTTTGATAATGTTTTGATCTCCTAAAATTATTTTTAAGTATAAATTTTATATCCAGTATGGATATAGTAATATGTTTTGACAACAAAGCATTGAGAATCTTGCAAAAATTAAAAACCTATGTAATCACTGAATGGGAGAATTGATCAGTGAATGGGAGAAAACATACTGTTCACTGAGAAAAACAGAATGGTAAAGATAATCATAAAAGAGAAATAAGAATAATATTAAATACAATTTTATAGTTCCCACCATTAGATGGTAGAATGCTAAACTGTTTTATAATACTGCCAATCTCTTTAGGAATGGGACATGTGGAAGAAAAGCTATTTAAGTTTTATTAATTAAAATCAGGAGCATGCAGACATATATTACATTTTCACAGTAAAGTCTAGCTGTAGTCTAATTACAGCTAATTCTACAAAGACTATGTTATGTAGTTTGACTAAGGGCCACTATTTCTTTAAAAAATTAGGATTTCTTTATTCCACAGTGATCCTAGGTGATTTTGGTATTTTAGCATCTATCTTCAGAGGACTGATTTAAAAATGTCTTTATAGGAACACAGAGATACTCTCTATCTCTACAAAGAAATTCTTATTTGTTAGCTACAGAAACCATTTCAGTGCCTTAAGAAAAAAAGGCCACCTTCTGTGGAAAGCTGGCACACACTGTGATTTTTAAAAAAATTTTAATTGATTTTATAGAGAGAGAAACATCAATTTGTTGTTCCACTTATATATGCATTCATTGGTTGATTTTTGTATGTGCCCTGACCAGGGATTGAACCTGCAACCTTGGCGTATCGGGATGATGCTCTAACCAACTAAGTACCCGGCCAGGGCCATACACTGTGATGTTTTGACCAATTTAACGTGTTTGGGACTAAACATCAATTTAATCTAATAATCTTAATCTAATAGTTTCGTTTCACATGGGAGGAAAAACCACCAACTTGTCAAAACACTGCATTCTCAAATAGTTATGGTAAGACTGAAATACTTACCAAAGTATTTCAAAGAGAAATAAATACATTTCCCTAAGCATTTATTTCACTTTGTAAAGTTTGATTTTCAATGAAAATGAAATGTCTTATCTAATAGTTCTTTAGAAATATTTAGCTATGACCTACAGTTTTGAGCAATGTCCAATTAATATGAAACTTAATTATAAAACTATACTTTGATTCACTAATTTTTAACATGCCAGTTCGGAGAAAATTATCTGCATTTCCAGGACTTTTGTTGCAGTTATATATTTAAAAATTTTTAATTACAAAGACTTGATTGTATCCTAGAAAATTCAGTGCTTCTGAGTTGGTGCATCACAATATGGCACATTTTCTATAAGAAGGTCTTTCCTAGGGACCAATTCTGAAAGAAAAACAAAAAGGGAATAATTAACATTATGAAAATTAAAATGAAATGCAAATACACTCATTCCCCTTAAAATTTATAGCAATAAAATATGGACTTTTAAATATGGCAAATTTTCCAGGGATATTTTATTTCAGTTAACCCCTAAGGTGGAGTCCTTGATTTTAAATGGAGACAGTAGGATTCTAATTTCAGATTACTATAAAAACATGTATGACCAATTTAACCCTTTGTCATTTATTAAATATAACTGATTAAATAACTGAACAGAATTCAGCTAAAGCACATTATCACCCATCTGATTACAGATTACTGATAATTAAAACCACCAACTGGAAAATGCTTTTATACTACTTACTTATTATATAAAAAGCAGGACTACTTTCTTAATCTAAAGATTCCAAATTTTATAGAACAGTGGTTCTCAACTGGGAGTGTTTTGGGTAGTCACACCAACTGAAGAATGCTACTGGAATGTAGTGGGCAGGAGCCAGGGATGTGCTGGACAGTCTGTTATAGCAAAGAACTATGCTGGTCAAAATGCCATTAGTGCCCCATTGAGAAACATAGTTAAACAATAACAACATTAAGTGTTGATTTCTACGCAAGACCATGCTAGAGTCAACTGAGGTTAAGCTCTTAATATAAAATTTTGAGGAGATACATGATTTCTCTGCTTTTAACTCCAGAAAAGCTGAAATCAGGTGAATTGTCAAGTTAAAAAAATGTTCATGCCACATTCTATGAAAGAACTTGCCTATACTCTTAAAAAACATCATGGTCAAGAAAGATAAAGAAAAACTGAAGAGCTGCTCCAGATTAAGAAAGATTAAAAAAACATAATGACTAAGTGCCATTTGTGTGATCCTCAACTGGATAGTAGACTAGAGGGAAATTTTCTTTCCTACTGCTATAAAGTACAGTTAAGACAAATAGAAAAATCTGAACAACAGTACTACATCAATGTTAAGATCCTGCTTTTGATAATTATATGGTGGTTACAAAAGAAAATGTCCTTATAAATTCAGGAAATACACACTGAAGTATTTTTGAGAAATACACCTTAAAGTATTTCTCCAAATCTAAACCCAAGTGGGCTATCATAATTTTTAAAAATGCTCATTTGGGGGAAAAGAGGCATTATCCTCAAGAAAGTTTAGGGGGGGAAAACAAGGAAGGATGATAAAGCAAATGTGGTAAAATGTTAGCCTTTGAGGAATCAGGGTAAAGGGAATTCCCATATCCTTCAACTTTTCTTGCATCTTTTCTGTAAATTTGAATCATTTCAAAAAAATTTTTTAAAAAATATATCACTAAAACAAATTCAGTTTAGAAGGAAAATGGAAATTCTCACTTAATAAAAAAAAAAAATAACCCATCTGACTAAAAATAATGCTCTTATTAGGCAAATGGCAAATCTGGTTTACTGAAATAAAAACCTTTGTTTATATCTCACCTACTTTGCCAAACCTTTGGAAGTTTCCCCAGATTATAGTTTAGGTTTTAACTGACTAACAAAGGCAGTACATTATTCCACTCATCAAACATAATGTGTGCCTGTTTTATGCTGGACATTACATCAAGAAATGAAGCTATGGAGGTGAATGTAATAGTCTCTTCAGTAGAACATGGTGACTATAATTCATAATTCTGTGCTGCACATTAAAAGATGGTAAGACAATTGGTTGTAAAAGTCTTTATCATAAGAAAAAAGCTGTAACTATATTTTTTCATAATATACACAAATATTGAATCAGTATATTGTACACCTGAAACTAATATAATATTACATGTCAACTTTGCCTCAAAAAAAAAAAAAGTCTATTCAGCTTCAAAGAGTTCACAATCTAGGGAAAAGACAGAAATTAACCAAAAGTCCAACAAACGATAGTTTAAATGAGTAAGAGATTTAATTTTCTCATGTATCAAGAAATACAGATTAAGTTAGTCCTGGGCTACCTAAGGACCCACACACTCTTTTCTTCTTGTTCTGCTATCCTTCATGTGTGATTTTTTTTCTTGATTGTTGCTGCCCCATCACAAGTGGGTTCCAGGAAGGAAGAGAGAAGGAAGAAGGGCAAAAGGAGAGTGATAGCTTGGCCTATGCCCTTTCAACATCTATTAGATGATGCCTTCTTGGGAGCAACATCTAATAGCTGCTTACAATGACCAGAATGGTGTCACATGGTCTGAGAAATAACTTTTTTCTTTTGTTTAGCACAATACAGCCCGAACACAATTTTTCAGTTAGTAAGAAAGAATGAGAGGAGATTGAAAGATGGCAGCAGAGTAGGTGGACCTCTCTACCAGCTCCTTCCAGAATCGAACTGTAATTAAAACTAAATTGGGGAATATTCACCCTGAGTTACCAGCTGAAGACTGGTTGAAGAGTAGATTTTAATTTTATTTATTTTTTAATATGTTTTATTGATTTCAGAGAGAGGAAGGGAAAGGGCGAGAGAGAGATAGAAACATCGATGATTAGAGTCATTGATCAGCTGCTGCCTGCAGGCCCCCTACTGGCGATCCAGTCCCCAAACGGGCATGTGCCCTGATGGGGAATCGAGCCTCAGTCTCCTATGAGAGATCAATCTCCTGGATCATAGGTCGATGCTCAACAGCCAAGCTATGCCAGCTGGGCTGAAGAGGAGACTTTTAAACAAGGAAGGGCAGAAACCACCGTGAGACTGGTAGAAGGGGTGGGGATGCGGGGATGCCAGAGGCCGTGGCCCAGCACCCAGGAGTTGGTGGGCCAAGGGTGAAGAGGGATCCCCCAGAGAGGAGAGAGGCCTGGACCACAGGCAGGACTCCCCAGACTGGACAGCCAGAGCTGGAAATAGCAGCACATGCAGCAACGAGAGGCAGGGCTTCTATCAGCCAGAGAGCTGAGCCTCCCAGAGACAAAGCCATTTTTTTAAAGGGCTGGCGCATAGGATTTACCTTCCCAGACGCTCACCCTAGGTTTCAGCGGTGGGAGCGCGGTGGGAGCTGGAGTTGCCCGGGACAGGGGTGGAAGGAGTTGGGGATAGTTTCAGGGAGGGTGGCTGCCAGAATACCTGTGCTGAGTCACCACCACGCCATATCACAACAGTCATTTTTCCTAAGAGGCACAAGCCCTTCCCAACAATAGAAGCCTGAGGAAAGGCAAATACCCCGCTTCAGGATACAGCTTGCCCTACCCTAAGGAATCCTGCTCACCTCACCCTCTGGAATCCTGCGTGCCCTACCCTGCATCTTAACCCCTGCTGAAGAGGCAGCAGTCTGAGGAGGCAGCAGTCTCAGGGAGCATCAGTGGATTGCTTTGGGGAAGGGACATTCTCCCACATTCCTAGGGACCTGGCTGGCACTTCCCTCTCATGGGAGAGCTGATAGAAACTCCTGGCTTCCCAAAGACCCCACTGGCTGAGGGGCTCCACCTGGCCAAGGACAGGGAAATAGTCTAGGGACACACCTACCATATTCCCCGAAGTCTGAAAGTTTGCTGACGGGCCTTAGGCCCTGTACTGCTAAAAACCTAGCCTAGGAGCACAGGGTGGCCTTGCCTGTGGGGGCTGCCAAACTCAGAGGAGGCAGCTGTAGATCACTTGAAGTTTGGAACAAGGCATCAAGAGCAAAATTTGGACAGCTTCTGACATGGACTAGCACAAAAGTACCTCCTGGGAGGCCAGAAATCAACATACAAAAACAGCATCAGACATAAAGAGCAGGATCCAAAGGGAAATCCTAGCAGGCACTAAAATTTGCCAAGATGAACTTCACTTGTTTGTTTTGTGTTTTTCCCCCATGATTTTCTTTATTTTTTCTTTTTTATTGCTTTGGTCTTATTATTGTTATTATTTTTCTCTTTTCCCTCTTGTTTCTTTCATATCTCTTATTTGCCTCTTTTCTTCTTACTCTATTTTTCTTTTCTTATTTTGCTTTATATCTTTCTTTCTCTTCTTTTTACCTTCTCATAATTTTTTCTTAGTTACTTTTTTACCATTTTCCTTTTCCTACTCTCTTTTTTCTCAGACAAGAAAAAGCTAAAGGAGTTCTTTACCACCAAACCAGTATTACAAGAAATGTTAAAGGGTCTTCTTTAAAAAGAAGAAGGAAAAAGATAAAAAATAAGAACAATAAAATGACAAATAAGTACCTATCTATCAACAATTAAATCTACAAACAAAATGAACAAGCAGAACAGAAACAGATTCATAGATACAGAGAACTTTTTGTTGGCTGCCAGATGGGAGGGGGATTGGGAATGGGTGGGTGAAAAAGGTGAAGGGATCAAGAAGTACAAATTGTTTGTTTCGGAATAGTCACGGGGATGTAAAGTACAGCATAGGGAATAAAGGCAATATTCTAATAACTAGTTGTGGTGCTGGATGGGTGTAGGATTTATTGGGATGATCACATATTAAGTTATGTAATGTCTGGTCACTGGGGTGTACAAAAAAAACTTATTGTGATAATCATTTTGCCACCTATACATATATAAAAACATTATGCTACACACCTAAAATTAATGCAATGTTATATGTAAATTTTATTTATTTATTTATTTTTATTTTTTATTTTTTTAAAGTACTGGTTTATTTATTTTTTTAAATATATCTTTATTGATTTCAGAGAGAAGAAAGGAGAAGGAGAGAGAGAGAGAGAAACATCAATGATGAGAGAGTCATTGATCGAGCCCACAGCCCGGGCATGTGCCCTGACCGGGAATCAAACTCCGATCGCCTGGATCCTAGGTCGATGCTCAACCGCTGAGCCACACCTGGCTGGGCTACATGTAAATTTAAAAAAAATCTATCGATGGCATGGTTTATAATAGTGTGACAACCAAAGAAGCATCTAGGATATAAATAATTTATAAGACATTAAAATACTTAACTTTGCCATTAGAGAAAACATCTCACATATCAAACACACAAATATATATAAGTTCAAATTAGAAATCTTAAACACAAAATTGTTTTCTTCTAAGAACCTGTTCCTGACCCACCAAGTTTTGG